CATCAACCATAGCTAGTTCTCTGACCTCAGACTCAGGAGAAGGGTTTCGTTTCTAAATGAGCTGTAGAATTGACCCATTCCTGGGCAGCTGAGCTAAACGATGAACTTCAATTGGCGCTTCTTTGCCCCTTCCTTTCGGTGGATCTCTGACCTTCGCATGTTTATCTGGTTGCTATCCCTGCTCAAGGGTTAAGCAGGGGAGGAAAGAGAGAAAGAGTGAGCATGGGATAAAAAATAGCTCATCTTCCATTGAGAAGAAGGAAAGTCATTGGAAATCACTTCAGAGAACAATCAGGAGTGTGGAAAAGGGAATCTCTCATTGCCAACCATGGAGTTAAAAAAAAAGGTAAAAGCTCCTAATGAGCTAGCTTGAAGTAACCTTTGGAGACTTTTATGCTTGCCATGGCTTGAAACAACAATCTGGGCAAGTGGAAAATGGATTAGTCAGCCCTTTTTAGTGATTTTCAGATTGTGTATGTGTTTCCCAGCTTAGCTTTACCAGCTGAAGCTGAAACTATAGTTACATGAAGTCAAAGGTAAGTGACACTTTTTGCATCTAAGATTTTCATTTCAAAATTAATTGTGGGGTCATCATCACTAAATGCGTGTTATTTTGCCATTGACTTGAATGTGAACAATCCACCTTAAGCAGACCTGGGCAAGGTGCGGCCCGAGATCCACATATGGCCCGCTAGCCGTTCCTGTCCGGCCTGCCAGACATCAAAACCATTTATAGCTTTTTGTCTAAAGTTGATCAGTTGCTTATCTTTAACATACCACAAAAAAACCTCTTTAGTATTTGTGAAGATTAACACGATTAAAATAAAAACAATCATAACATCACTGTTTCATTTTATTTTTAAGTAAAGTTGGTTCGGCCCCCGAACACAGTTCAGATTTTTCATGTGCCCCCCCATAGAAATTAATTGCCCACCCCTGACCTAACGAAAGAACTTTGAATAAGTATCTGAAGACCATCTCCTAAGATTCAGAATACTTCATTCCAGAGTATCCCCTATGCCCTAGGAACCAAGAGTTGCAGACCCAGGCAAGAGCAGAGAAGCTTCTCAGTGGCTAGCTGGCTTTCTGGCTCAGAAAACCTCAACACGGTTGCAGGCTTTGCCAAAGCTAGGATTCCCCTTCCAGAAGTATGAAGGCCCCAACCACCTTTCTCATTGTGATCTAAGGTCCTAAATGTTTCCAATGCAGTTAAACCCCCTCCCCATGGTGCCTGCCATGACCAGACTCCACTAGATGGAGTCTGCCTTATTTTCCTTTAGATAAGTGTTTTCCAGCCTGGGGGCCATGATCTCTAAGGGGGGTTTGAAGTATTTTCTGGAGGGTGTCATGGGTCACCTTATATATGTTGTACCCCTTGTTAAATAATTTCTTCTTTGACTTTTCAGAGCAGGATGTGTATTAGAGATGTGGGTACAGATACGAATATCCATGCACAGGTGGAAATAACAAGGGTTCGGCCAGACTGTCCACTCACAATTTCACTGATACCACCAGCTCTGCAGAGGCTTCCTATTGCGCCATTGTCTGCAATCAGTTACCCAGTCCTGGCATGAGGCGGGTTGACAAGTCTCTCTACTAGGTCAGAGAGTGGCTAATCCATTGCGGAGAACAGTGTGATAGGAAACCTCCATGGAGTTGGAGGCAGCAGCAAAATTGTGAGTGGACAGTCTGGCACCACGTTATTTCCAATTGTGCGGGGATATTCGTATTCGCATACGAATACGAGTAACCCCATCTCTAATGTGTATGTATGAGAAACAGGTCATTTGAGAAGAGAAAGACGCCTCAGTTTTCTAGAAGGGATGACCTTAGCCCATTAAGAATGCCTTTTTATACAAACATGGTGGTTGTGGGATACCCGATTAATTGTCTATTCTAAAACAGACTCACAACTCAAAAAAGGTTGCTTTAGATTGATACAAAATCCTTTCAAGTAACTGCCTGGATTTTTGCCCCCAAAGGGTTTGGGGTACTAAAATCAGGTCTTGCTTCAGCCAGCTACTGGAAAATTTTAGTATTTGTGTGGATGTGGCCACAGCTACTTTGCAAGATGGGTGTGTGTTCCAAGAGCTAGCCTTATGAATTCTTTGGACTCTCTGCAGGCAGTGCCAGATCTGAGTAGATGTCAATGTTGTGGTGCTCAAGCCTCCCTAAGGAGCGCTTAGCACTCAGCCAGAGAGTTCAACAGGCCACTTACCTACTACTTTTGTGCTGAGGCAAGTCCTAAGACCTCAGCAGTGCGTAGCGTAAGCCCTTTGAACAAGTCTGACCTTAAAAGAACACTTTACTTGTACCCAGTACTTTGCAAGTACAAACACATGGCCTTTGTGATTCCTTAGAACTCACAACAGCTCAGTTAGGTAGGATTCTTAAAGATAGCTAGTTTGTGGCCCTCTCCAGTCCCCGGATTTAGCCAGACCCTGCTGTTCAACAGACCTGTCCTTTGTAAGGATTTTTATAATTAATTTTTATTAGAAAAATATAATTTCATAGAATCAGTTTATATGCCTCAAGCTCTAGCATATTCAAAGATCATTACAGTTAAATAAAATAACTAATCCCTATTAAAATAAAAAACTACTAATCTGGGCTAAGGTGGGCTAGCCCCACCTCCTTCTTTCTCTCCACTTACATTTTTTCTCCTTCAAGCCACATATTCAAACCATCAAGTACTTTTTCTCTCCCATCATCATGGAATAGAACAGTGGTTCTTAACCTTTGTTACTCGGATGTTTTTGAACTGCAACTCCCAGAAACCCCAGCCAGCACAGTTGGTGGTGAAGGCTTCTGGGAGTTGTAGTCCAAAACTCCTGAGTAACCCAAGGTTAAGAACCAGTGGACTAGAACTTCTGAACTTCTTGCACATAACCCATCATCCATTGCCCCTTACCCCAGAATAAAAACACAAGACCGGAAAATATGGATTAAACATGGGCCACACTTTATTGAATATAATCATTATTGGCAATCCTTTGGCAAAGGGGGATCCTGCCGTAGTGTGGACTCAGGTTTCAAAACATAGGTCTAAATAGACCTTTCTAACCAACAGTTATGCAAGTCCCTGGCCCAAGTACCCCCAGCCCTGAAGACAGTGAGAATCTCTATTGGCCCAAATGTGACCACCCTGGACCTCGAACCACTCTCTCCTTGTTGACTGTGGTCTGGATGTGTCCCCAGTGGATCTCCCCCCCCCAAGCACTGTAATCCCATGATCCACAGTGCTGGGGGTTCAGATGAGCTGTAATTACCTGCTATTAGTCCCTGGCCCAAGTACCCCCAGCCCTGAAGACAGTGAGAATCTCTATTGGCCCAAATGTGACCACCCTGGACCTCGAACCACTCTCTCCTTGTTGACTGTGGTCTGGATGTGTCCCCAGTGGATCTCCCCCCCCCAAGCACTGTAATCCCATGATCCACAGTGCTGGGGGTTCAGATGAGCTGTAATTACCTGCTATTGCTATGGGACAAGCCCTGTAATCCCATGATCCACAGTGCTGGGGTTCAGATGAGCTATAATTACCTGCTATTGCTATGGGACTCACCAAAATACCTGTTTAATCCTCATTAACTGCCAGTGTGACCGAATTTCCACCTCAAAAATTGCCAACGCACCTTTTCCAGTGTGGGATATGCAAAAAATCCCCGCCTCTGAGAGACAATCAGGAGACAGGTCAAAAATTCCTATTCGGCCACAAAGGTGACCAGATGAACTCACACCAGAATATAGGGCGGGCAGGTCGGATGCCAGCAAAAAAAGAGGAAGAGAAGAGGAAGGGGGTACAGTCTTTAAATAACTAATGTTCCCCCCTCTTCTAAAACTGCTTGCACGAGACTTTGACAAAAAAATCTCGTTGTCCTCCAGGGAGGGCGGCAAAGGTAAGCCATGCTGCGGAAGCCCAGACTCAATAGCCGCTTATTCATTTTCTACATTCTCTAACTCCTCCCTTCTTCTTGATACTTCATGGCTGTTAACCAATTAGCCTTGAGGGGCTGTAACACCTTCCTCCTCCCTCAATTCCCATGAAAGTCGAGGTGTTTTATCTCCTCTCCAATTAGTTCAAAATGTTGAGTCTTCCATGGGCTCCTTTGTTTGGCTTTATCTCGAACCACGCTGTACCGATCTTCAGAAAAACACTCTCATAGCGCTTAGAAAAACACATTTCAATGTCTCTCAAATCATCTTCACACAGAACCTTTCTGACTCCATCTTACATTTCTCTGACTACATATCTCATACTGCTTTGACTCCATGACAAATGTGTGTGAGTGATATGGCTCCAGGCAGGCTCCATATTCTTCACTGTATCTGACTCCTCCCTGAGCTCACCCACCTCAAGATAGGTAAGGGGGTAGTGTGGCAGACTGCCTGTAGAGGGAGATTCCCCTCACCAGGGAATGTTACACTGACTGGAATTTTGGCAAAATTTTTGATTTGTGATACTAAAAGCATGCCTTGTCTTGACTAACAACTGGGGGATTTTGTATTTTTGTGAGTGTGGTGGTGGCTGGACCTTTCGAGGTGGGCATCGTGGTTCTAAGTGCCTAGCCTTGTGGCTTTTTGGAGTCCCTGGAAGCACAGCCAAATTAGGGTAGACTGGGGTGTTGGGAACGACCAAGGCCTGGTGTATCCTCTAGTCACAATCACATTTAACTCTCCTGGGTTCACCTACCACAGAATAAACAGAGTGGTGTGGCTGAGTAGCTAGCATGGAAATCCCTGAACTTGGAGAACCATCATAGCTACACTAAGACTAAAAATTTTCCTGTGTACCCTCATGAGATACCATCAATATGAAAGCAATTACCCAAGTATGCTAAGGCTTCAAACAATGTCTTTGTGGTTTTAAATGAAAATCAGAAAAAGGCAAGTATTCTAGGTGGTGTGAGTATGAGGCAATGTCTCATCTTGCATTGAATAATTTTGTTTGTTTTGCTTGAAATAATAAAAAAGGAAGCAAAGAAGAACTGACATCCCCCCATTAAGCATAGTTTTATTAGACGTCTTGGTGCTAAATTGTGATAACTATTGAGTAAGACAAAGGGGGATAGAACAGGAGAACACGGAAACAAAACAAATGAAATATAATAGAGGAATTGTTTGTTCAGCACAGGGAAGTTTATAATATCTCTTAAACCTCCAGTGATATGGCATCTGCTTTACTTTTGGTTTACGTTCAGCGTGTCAGATTTGGTGCAACCTGAACTGCAATAAAAACAAAGGTAACATTCACACCAATTTAACTATGAGCAAGGTATTGTTTCACACATGTCAGTTATCAGGAGTAAAATATTTCCTTTCTATTTTGGAGGAGTTATTACTGTCAAATAAATGTTTAGATGGAATAGTAACTAAGGTTCCAAACACTTAATCAAATTCCATTCTGCAAGAAACCTCTAGTTTATGAATGTGGGATATTGTGCTTCTGTATCCATGATTCAAAATGCCAGGAAATGTCCCAATACTGCTGCACAATATTTTGCCTATATTGCCAACAGGAGAAAGGATGCCAAGCTTCATGTAGCAAAGGGCAGCCTGAATGTTGACAGCACCAATGGCAGCAGTGAAGATGGTCTACAGGAGTGGTTCTCTACCTTGGAGCCACAGATGGACTAGAACACCCAGAAGCCTTTACCACTAGCTCTGCTGGTCAGGCTTTGTGGGAGCTGTGGTCCAAAAACATCACAGGAACAAGGTTTGGAACCATTGGTCTACAGAATACCCTCTTGTGCTCACTACCATTCACAAAAGACACCAAGCAAGGGAAAATCCCAGAAGCTCACCTATTTTTTCATGTTAACCACTTCTCACCTAAACACAAAACCTCTTTTTTCATGTTAACTACTTCTCACCTAAACACAAAACAATTGTCACAGCTGTTTTTTTAAAAAAATAATAATAAGTGTGTCCTAATCTTATAACAAAGTGGTTGTTTTCCCCCTTTGAAATACCTCACTTGAGGAGCACTATTTTAGCCCCTGTGGTTTGGATTTTTTCAATTTTTTAAAAAAGTGGGTAGGACCAAATAGTCTCTTTGAAGATAAGCAAGGCTGGTCTTTTCACTTTTTATGAACTATTTTGGTGACACTTAGAATTTCTTGTTTCTGTAGGGGGAAAACCATTTTGTTATGAACTATTTTGGCGACACTTAGAATGTCTTGTTTCTGTAGGGGGAAAACCATTTTGCTTAAAAAAAATTTAAGCTCAAAAACGTTTTGTCCAAACATCTCCAAATTTGGCCTAGAGCAAGAGCCACTTGTTCAGTACATCTGTGCCAAATTTGGTGCCATTTTGAAGTTATATTTTTTTGTACAGGTGTCCCCCTTCTTTAAGAATTGCCTTGTAGAATGTTTTGCTGTGCTGCGCAATAACATAGCTGCACTAATGTGCAGGTGTAATACCTATGTAAGATCCATCAATTCACCGCAAATATGTATAACTGATGGCCAGGTTGTTTTTTATTCATAGGAGCAATGGTTATAAGCTACTGTGAAGAGTTAGTAATTGATCTGTTGGGTACCTTCTAATTGTTAGCGTGCTACGAAGAGTCGGCGACAACTTGACGACAGATGCCAACTGCTGTCTTAGATGGCAAATATATGAGGGTCCCTAAACATCTAAGGCTGTGCATCTGTGGATCAGGTGAGATAGAGGATGTTCTCCATTATTTACTCTACTGTCAGCTATATCAGAACCCCCGAGAAAAGCTCCTGGGTAACATTTTGGCTGCTCTACAGGAGGAAAGCCCTCAGATAAAGGTGGTCAGGTTACTTTTGGACTGTGACCCTTATGTTACACATAGAACAGCGCTGTTCGCAAAGGCGGCCAGAAATATTCGAGCTAATTTTCTGAAAGCCATTGCAATCAATTGTGTGGGAGTTTCCCAGATATGAAGGGTCTCTTATTATTTTATACGTCTTTGATTTTATTTGACCATATCTGTATTTTAAACAATTGTGACAGCTTTTAGCTAATGCAATAAACTTGAACTGAACAGTGTTGGGGACCTGTGTGCATCTGAACACACAAAACCCAATTGCCTTGATTTTTCTTTCCCTGATTTGACAGGGCACGAATCCATTCAAAACTGGTGGTGTATAAAGTTCTGCCAGTGAACTTAAGTTATATAATCGCTGTTGCTGGAGAAGACAAAAGACAGAAGAGCAATAGTGGTAGCAAAGATGGCTGTTTCTGGGGCAGGGAAAATCAGCCAGGTGTGACCCCTGAGAAAGGGTCGGAGAGGCAAAACAACACCATACACATCCTGCCAGTCCATTCCCCCAATAGACTTACCATGTGGAAGGAGGAGTGTGTGCCAAAGAGGGCAGATACCAAGTTTGTGTCAAAGGCTAAGGGAACTGAGGAGAGAACTCACAGCCTCACAGTCTGTTGTTCTCTCTCTTGGCAGTTAGCTTCAGCCCTCACAGGAGTTCCTATTGGCAACAAGAGACCAGCATTGACAGTTAGCAACTGGCCATCATCCTCAGCCTTTTTCCCACCCACTATTTCTATTTCAAGCAGTGGCAATAGTGGCAAGGAACATTGGGATTACAAAGCTTTGGCGCCTTTCTCTTCAGGTCTTATTTTGCCTACCTTCCTCCCTGTCACATCAGGGAATGTAGTGGTGATGAAGAGAAAATGAAGGGCAAGGTTGAAGGGGACCAGGACTAGGAGAACTTGGGAGGGCCCTCCTTTGCCCTTCACCCATGGGCTATGTTGCCACCTGCTTGTGCCCCTCCTGCTCCTGTTGTCGAGTGCTGTTCAGGTGAGACTAGCTTCAGGCTGGATTGGATGCAGGAGTCAGGTCAGCATACCTTAGTGGTTGTAACGGAACCCAAAGTATGATGTCATTCCTGCATGTCAATCAGGGGATGGAGAAGGAGGGGCGGAGTCAGAATGACAGTTGGAACAGCTGGGTGAGACAGTTAGGGGGTTGGAATCAGAGAGAGAGAGAGAGGTTCAGGGAGAGTTAGGGACCAGAAGTTATTAAGAGAGTGATAGGATTTAGGAATAGCAAAAAGGGTCAAGGAAGGGAATTGAAAGAGTTAAAATATAGTGAACAAGCAGGAATGAATGCCTAAGTATAACAAGAGAAATACTAGTAGTAGGGTAATGGTAGCTTTATTCAAACTCAAATTTGACAGGTGCCACGCCCCCTTTTGGACCCCT